GTTTTAAAAAAAAAAAAAAAAAAAAAAAGACAATGCCACTCCCATTTCTGTATCACAATTGCCGTTTTTTAGCAAGTGTGTGAACTCACAGTGCTTTTCTATGAATAAATCCTGGATCACAGAAAAGATCATTTTTCTAAAATCAGAAATTGTGTTCTTTCAATAAATGGGGCCCTTCTCTCTTCTCCATCACCTGGCTGGGACAGGGAGCTGGTTAGGCTATATAGCACAGTGGGTTCCTAATGGTCTAAGATGTGGAATGACAAATGAAGAATTTCCTACTGCACCACACCCCTCTCCAGAGCTCACAGGCCTGTCAGAGCCTGATCCCAGGAAGTAGGTACCACCATGAAAAGCAGAAACAGCAAGATACTGAGAAAATTAGAGGGTATGCGCAGAAAAGAATGCAGGGCAACTGGCCCTGTGTCCCACTCTGATCTATACACCCTTCCCTCCCCAGATGCAAAGCCCTGTCAATTTGGCCTCATATGCTATAGGCACCCCATTTCCCTGCAAATGTCACAGCTCTAGCTCCTAGGAAGATCTGCACAGCCCCATGTAGCTCTGGGGCTTGGAGATCTGAGAGCAAAATGGTGGTAAAGGTCCTGACATTAAGTCCTACATACATATTCACTGATACCCGAGGTCCCATGACTTGTGGGAGAGGATGCAGAAAGAGGCCCAGGGAAGGAAGAGGCTAAGAAGGAACTGAGGATAAGGGCACAGATCTTTCACAAACAAAACCACACGCAAGACTCCAACTCTGGAACTTTTATTCTCCTGGAAACAATCATCTGTGTTAGTGGTACTTCAGATAAAAGGATTATGCTCAATTCTGTCGAAGCAGACGTGAGTGTTTGTGCACGGCATCCACAAAGGCTCCCACATGTTCTGGGTCCATGTCAGGGTAAAGTCCGTGGCCCAGGTTGGCAATGTAGCGCCGCGGCCCAAAGTCATTCAGCATCTGCTGCACCAACTGCCCAATCTCCTCCTGGGGGGACCAACAGGGCACTGGCTACAGGGGGGGCCAGCACACCTCTGTCCTCCCTATACATAATAGTGACACACATACATGTAGGCATGCTTCTACTCAGTGTTACTCATACAGTCATTCAAAAAACTTTATCGGGTGCCTAGTATGGGCCAGGCGCTAAGAAAACACAAATGAACAAAATCATTGAGAAGAAACTCCTGCCTTCCTAGAGTTCACATGGTATGAGTGGAGTAGAGGGGAGGGATAAACAGATAATAGAAGCACACACATAGTAATAAACACAACCATATCCAGAACCATGCGAGTGCACAGAAACAAACACAGACACACACAGGGACCTGGTTGTTACCTCAGATGCATATAAGGCACAGGGGTCCAGGTTGCCCTGCAGGGTCACCGTCTTTCCCACGCAGTCCCTGGAAGTAGAGTCAGTGCCCTGTTCTGGTGACTGCACATATGGCAGTTGCATCCCCTCCACAGCACCTTCCATCACTCACCGGGCTTTCTCTGGGGCCACTGTCCAGTCAAGCCCAACTACCTCGTAGCCAGCCTGGGCCAGCTCCTCCAGGGCAAAATGTCCGTCCTTAGCAAAGATGATCTGGGGGAAAGGGCAAATCTCAGGCTGCCGAGGGCTTTGCTATACCTCCTAATATAGCTCAGTTGTGCTTCTGCCCTCCAGTGGTCACTTAGGTCCATGCAGGACTTAACCTGCTAGTTCCACAGGCCCACCTTCACTCATCTGAACCCCATCCTTACCATGGGCACTGGTGCCAGGCCTGCCTCCTGCAGCCCGGCTTTCACTCGCTTGGCCACATCACGGATGTAGGGCAGTGCAAACTTACTGAAGAGTTGTGGGCCAAGATGCCCTGCATGGGACTCAAAGAGCTGCAACGCCTACAGTTAGAAAAGAAATGCATAACACACAAAGAGGAAGTATCTCGGGCCCCACATACAGAATGTGCCTCAGTTTTCCTTCAGTTTTCCCCAAGTGACTTCAACCCCTGAGACTACCTAAGCCTATAAGCCCAGTTCCAGTCAAAAAGTTTTGCCTTCTCCAGATCCCAGTGCTAGGTTTGGTCTTTGAATACACAGAGCATTAAGCCCTCCTGCCAGTGTCTGGGCTTAGCTGCTCCAGCCAGATCATTTCATGCCAAGCTTCTTTTGTGCCTGGTATTGAGACACCTACCCTCACAGGTATAAGGAACTGTATTGTTTCTGGTCCTTAAAGACTAAACTCCAGGGCTTCCCTGGTGGTGCAGTGGTTAAGAATCCGCCTGCCAATACAGGAGACACGGGTTCAAGCCCTGCTCCGGGAAGATCCCACATGCTGCAGAGCAACTAAGCCCGTGTGCCACAAC